CTGATGAGGGAGGGAGGGTCTGATGAGGGAGGGAGGGTCTGATGAGGGAGGGTGGGTCTGATGAGGGAGGGTCTGATGAGGGAGGGAGGGTCTGATGAGGGAGGGTGGGTCTGATGAGGGAGGGTCTGATGAGGGAGGGTCTGATGAGGGAGGGAGGGTCTGATGAGGGAGGGTCTGATGAGGGAGGGAGGGTCTGATGAGGGAGGGTCTGATGAGGGAGGGTCTGATGAGGGAGGGAGGGTCTGATGTGAAGCTGAAGTTTTAATAAACTGAGAGATGTCTGTAAAGTCTCTGATCAGCTGCTCAGTCTGAAACCAAACGTCTGCAGAGTTCATCATGCTCATTTATTTCCTCAGGACCTGAGAGGTCGACTGGCTTTCAGACAATCAGACACATCATATCGTTTGATGTCATACAGACAGTATGATGTCATACAGAGTAACAACATTACAGTGACAACAAACAAAAACAACAAACAGTTAAACACAAACCGTAAATAAATCCAAGTGTTAAAGGACACAAAGACGCTGATGTTCATTAATGTCACTGTAAACATCAACAAAAAATAAGATATTTCAACACTGTAAAATAAAGAGGTGTCTGCACACAGTGTGACACACGTCTCAATACTGAGTTCTTCATTCTGCTGCATGAAGCCTGAACAGACTCGTTACTGCCCCCCTGTGGTCTGAGTGTTTGTCCATCAGTCACTGAAGTAATGAGTCTGTGTAAGCAACAAACAAACTTCACACACACACACACACACACACACACACACAGGTGAAATTTATCTTCAGTGTTTCAGCAGAGAAACGTCTTCAGTGACGAGGAGTTCAGGTTAACCCTAACCCTCTGTGATGTAATGTCGGCGCTCTGATTGACTGCAGCAACAATTCAGGAAGCATAAAGTTGAGACTGAAAGTTCAGTCTTGACCTCAGAGAGTTGGCTGATAGACTTCACAGCTCCGCAGCAGCGACTGAACGACTTCATGTATCGAGTTTCAGACGTGTTTCATGAGTTTTTCCTGATAAACAAACCTGGATGTTTCATATCTGTACAGTCTCTAATGTGACTCGTGTGTGTGTGTGTCATGGTGTGTGTGTGTGAGCAGTGAGTCCAGCTGGTCCAGTCTGTGCTTCAGTCCCAGTAAACTCTCCTCAGCCTCCAGTCGTCTCACCTTCAGATTCTCCTGCTGGTTCCACAAACTGCAGCGAAGACGAGCCTCAACGAGCAACAACACACAGTCAGTCAGGTTTATTCTCTCTGACATCACCCACACTCACACACACACTCACACACTCACACACCCACACCCACACTCACACACACACACTCAGGCTCTGTTTACACCTTTACAGACATTTATGAAAACAGATATTCTCCTCTATGTTTTGACGTCTCGTCCACACAAAGTGAGATTTGAAAACATCTTAAGTCCAGCTGTAACTCACCAGATTCATCACCGTATATGATATCATATCGAATCTTTGGACAACCAAACTATATTTGCAGATATCACAAAGTCTGCCTTGATATGATTTGATTTGAGAAGAAGAAGAAATCATCTGAGCATTTCACCCAGTTCTGCTCGTCACCTGTTATTAGCTCTAACACTTTTACGCTGCATGGTTTAGCCTAGCAGCTAGCAGAGTTTTCTCCACTCTTAACTTCACAAATTACAGGTATTGTTTATATATTTTCTTCCTCACTGTTGGTGTCAGTCTCTGCGTCCCCTGACACAACTGCTCGGTTGAATTTCGGCCTGCGTGCATGTTTTTTGAAACGTTGAAACAGAGCAACTAAAGCCGAGTTGAGACTGCACGGTATCAGCCTGATTATAACCTGACGCAGCTGTCGCACAATGTCGGCTCTGATCATGAACGAGTGTTGTGCGTGATAATGCATTGTTTATCCCATGTAGTGTGTCATAGTAGACCACAACTGATGCTGCGTCTGGGACGCCTTACGACTGAAAGGAGGCAAGAAAGACATTTTAAAACGAAGGTCGTGTGGACAGAATTTTTTATCTTAAATGGAGGAAAAATATCTGTTTTCAAAAATGTCTTCACACGTGTAGACAGGAGCTGTTTCTGTTCTCTGTCTCACAGTCACATGTTTCAGGTGAATGTCCAGTTTAGCTTAGCTTAGCACAAAGACTGGAGGTAAAGGGAAACTGTTAGCCTAGCTCCATCAGAAGAGACAACATCTACCTTCAGACCCGTCTGAGTCACATGTTGTTTTATTGAACAGGTGCAGACACACAAACGTAAAATGAGACATTGAGGTTTTAGCAGCAGTTAGCATTGAAGCTATTTGTTGGCGAACAACCTCTGGTAGCAGTAAGGCTGTTCTTTACTTATCAGAGGAGAGGGGTGGGTCTGCAGTGTGACCCTCCCTGAGTGACTGGAGGAAAATCCATGACCTTCCCCCTTCATGAATGACTGATTAGATTTACATACTCTTTGATGTTTGAAAGACAACATTTTTAAGATGAACTCCTGGAGTTGAAAAAAGCCTCAGTTGTTCACTCTTGTTGTGCAAACGATTTATTTTTGATAACATTTTAAATGAGGCGTAGAATAAAGTGATTTTGATGAAATATCACTACTTCAAGCATTCGTCGCACATGATGTGTCCAAGCACTGACGGAAATTTGAAAATCCAACAGTAAGTTTTATAGTTTTACAGTTTCTGGCTGATAAATTGTCATTTTGTCAATTTTTTTTTAAAACAAACCATGCCTGCAGGGTTTGGAAGGCATGTTGTCTTTAAAGATCAGTGGTAAAATAACACAAAATACATTTCAGTACAATCAAAAACAGTCAAAATTATTTGTCAGGATTCCCCCTCTTTGGACCACCCATCCCCCCACATAAATAACGAACAGTCCCTAACCTCTCTAAAGTCCAGAACTGCCAACCCGTTTGTTGGCTAACAGGAAACATGTTGGTCAACAGATAGCTCCAATGCTAACTGCTGCTAACAACATCTCCTTTTTATATATCTGTTTCCTGTTCATCAAACAACAGGTGAATCAGACTTTGAGTTTTATGAAGGTAGATGTTGTCTCTTCTGATGGAGCTAGGCTAACAGTTTGCCTTTGCTTCCAGTCTTTGTGCTAAGCTAAGCTAAACATGTCTCTGTACAGGAGGGATAAAGGTTATGTCCATCTGAAACATGTGACTCTGAGACAAACAGACAGACGACAAGAGGATTTACATTTTTAATCTCATACTGAAGTCAGAACTCAAGGAATAGTCTGAATATATATTTAATTATTTTTAAACACAAAGTTTATACTAACTGGTGATAAAATATCAGACTGGATCATCTGGATATCATTGGGGTTAAAGTTTGGACATGTTACTGTGTAACTACAAGAGTTCAACAAAAAGCTATTGTGTCAGTGATTTCTCTCATAAGCCTCCAAACTTCTCATTATAAGTCTGACTGTATTTAAACTGCTGGTTTGACTGAAGCTGAAGAGTTTGTTTGATATCTAAGTTAATAATAAAATATTATTTACCTTCAGTCGGTCCTCTTGTTGTCTCAGTTTTTCTTTCTGCAGTTCCACCTTCCACCTGTCCTCCTAAAAACACACACAGTTATGTGATTAACCACTTTAGATCTTTAAACTGTCGACACAAAGAATGAGAAACACTGTTGTTTAAGATCAGGACTGTTGACATACTGTAAAACTAAAAATACATGAATGGATGAAAAAGCAAATTTTATAAAACAATTCACTCTAAAAATATCATGAAAAAATCCATATTACACTTTGCTATCAAAAATCCTATAAAGATGTCAAACTATAGTATCTCCAATCATCAAAAACCGTCACTGTATAACATGTAAAATAATCCTCATAAGTCGTCAAAAACCACAAAAAACATCATAGTATAGCATGTCGTATGAAATCATATCTTAATTCAAAAAAGTGTGAATTCATCTCAGCATCCATTTATTCATGTCCATGGATAATTAGAAGTTATTAATGAGATCAGTGATGTGAAGCAGAACAAAGTGTTAACATGTCAGGACTCACCTCAGAGCTGAAGGCAGATCTCAGACCAGCTGTAGACAGGTAGAAAGACTCCTCCTCCTCTTCCTCAGACGCCTCCCTGATGTCCTCCTACAGACACACATTCAACAGCTTCTCAATTAATTCATTAAGACGTGCATTTATTGATTATTTATTTATTTATTAATCATTGTTGAGCTTCACCTCTTCTGTCTCGAGACATTCGTCCTCACGAAGCTCCTCACGTTTCTTTGTTAGCCCCTCCCCTTTGAACTGTAACACCTCCTCCTGGTATTTTAGCTCCTCCCTCTGATGTTTCAGCTCCTTTTCTTTTAACTGTAGCTCCTCCTCTGTCTGTTTCAGGACCGCCTCCTGGTGGATCAGCTGTTTCTCTCTCTGCCACAGATCCTCCTCTGATTGGTCGCAAAGAATCAAACACAAACATTTGATGTTTAAAAATGTGTTTGTATAAATTTGTATTCACAAATATCAGAAAGTATGTGGGACATGATAAAAGATGAACTGACTGAGCTGATGGAGCTGCTGCTGCTGCTCATAGATACGGCGCCCCCTGTCCTCCAACTGACACACTGCAGTATTAACTTCCTCCAGTCCAACACACAGAGCCTGAGACAGAGAGCACGAGTGAGGACGGGCCTGTTTACAGTTCTGGGCCCGACATGTTTGTGTGTCACTCTGTTGGTTTCTGTGACGACTGTAATAATAATAATAATAATAATAATAATAATAATAATGATAATGTTGTAGTGTGTGTGTGTGTGTGTGTTGTACCTGTCTGTCTTCTATCTGTCTGTCCAGCTCCTTCAGCTGCTCTGCTCTCTGCTGCTGCAGCTGACCGGACACATTCAGCTCCTGCAGGACACAAACACACTCATCACTATTAAACACTTCGTTCAGACAGAGGACAGGCTGTGTGTGTGTGTGTGTGTGTGTGTGTGTGTGTGTGTGTGTGTGTGTGTGTGTTTCACCTGTTCCAGGCTCTGCAGGTGTTTCTTCGTCTCCTCCACCCGTTCACTGAGCAGAGACAACAGCTCTGAATTCTCTGAAACACAAACATGATGAAACTTTGATGCATCTTTTCTTTGTCCAGTTGTTCATGTGTCTTGTTTACCTTTAAAGTCAATACTTGTCTATATGTCATTGTATATGTTGTGAGGAAATAAATAAACAAAAAAATGTCAAAAAAAGTCTAGATTTTTTTCAAACTTCATTCTTACTATTGATACATGCTATACTATGACTTTTTTTTTTTACAGATGTCGGACGACATACTATACTATGACTTTTTTTTACAATTTCAGGCGACATACCATACTATGACTTTTTTTTTCACGATTTCGGACAACATGCTATACTATGACTTTTTTTTTTTTTTT